AGATAAGATAAGATAAGATAAGATAAGATAAGATAAGATAAGATCAGATAAAATATTATTGATCCCACAGTGGGGAAATTTGCACGAGATGACAGGATTCAATTTAAACCTTAAAGCCACACAAGTTTAGTGTCTTTTTTGTCATGTTGTTTTATAATAAATTTGTAAAGTGATCGCCTTAAACAAAATAAATTACAAATCCCTAACTAGAACTAGACATAATGCTAATTTATGTTTCCTGTGAAAAATCAGGCTTTAACCTGAGCATCAAGCAGTTGGAGTTTAAAATAAATACCTGCCAGAAGACAGTGGACAGCAGGGTTTGGTTGGGAAGAAGGAGGCCAACAACCTGAGCAGATAGAGAGAAATTAAGATAAAACATCAGATTTGTGGCTTTGTTCTGTAATGTTTATATTAATGTACAGTAAGTAGCTGAATTTGGATATAAAAACCAACAAATCTTACCACTGGTGTTCCAAACGGAATAAAACCTGTTTAAAGACAGAGTATCATCAGTATCTACCGTACATAGACATACTGTATGTACTAAGGGTGACAACCATCAAGCATTAAATCACCATTATTAATATCCAGTAAAATTTTGTTCTGTACTGTTGGCAGCACRATAGATAAGTGGTTAGAGCTGYTGCCCCACAGCAAGAAGGTTGTGGKTTCAATCCTGAGTTTGGACCTGTACCTATCTGTGTCCTCCAGTTTCCCCTCATAGTCTAAACATGCACGTTCATGTGTTCAGGCCAGGCCACCCTTAGAAAAGAGGTGTGATCTCAATGAGATTGTGTGGTTAAACAAAGGTAAATCATAATAATCGTATCTTGGCCTTCAGTTTTGAGGACAGAATTATTCGTTTTCACCAAAATATGCAGTTAAGTCCAAAATAGTACAATATGACTTTTGTATGCTGCACAATGTAAACTAAATGAAACATACAGAATAAAAATYCTGCATCATATTCTTCTACTGCACAATAGCCTGGTAAAAACCCCTTGATCTTTGCTTTGCTTCSTACAGAGGGTCTGGACCCTCGGCTAATGAGAAGTGATTTCTTGCTGGAGGTGTGGACTCACTTGAAGTTTAAAACGATTGGCTCTGATTTACCCAATCGCTAACGTTTGGCCGTGACGTATGCAGTGCGTCAGCTTGACCGTGAAGGAAGCTAAGAAGCTAACCTAAAATTGTGTGCAMTGTAAACAACYATMCTGTACTGGGAAGAGAGAAGTACCGAGTCCGACGAAGTGGCTGTGAATGAGTGGACTGGCTTCTTTCACTTCCTCCACTGCCAATGCCAAACTAAACGGCAGACAAACTCAACGTCGTCTTTCAAAACTCCTCCTTCAGTTCGCTGATTGGCCCGGTTAAAATTCTACCAGAGAAATCCCAGACGGAGCAGAGAAGGGAAACTAGAACTGGCGTAACTTCATAGGAAGTCAAGGCAAGGCTAGCTGCACAAGGATTAATTAATTAATTAATCAATTAATTAATCAATTAATTAATTAATTAATTAATCTAAATTTTCACAAAACAACTATCTTTCAGGTTTACTTTTCAGGCTGTTTCTGTCTGCCTCTCAATAACTTGGCAGTCAGGGAGTGACAGACAAAGATGTGTTGTTATCATGGTGACCCAAATAAGCTTAAAAAAAACATCATAATGTAGGCGATTTGTTTCCTATCATTGCACTGGCACTGTTTCTTAAAAAGATTTCTTCAAGTTGTTCTGTAGATTCCTATATCTAATAAATTATTTCGTTTTTTTTTTTCAAGGTTTTTCCACTTAAAGTCTGYTCCTCTTAAAATAATGTTTTCAAAAACTCTTRTGCAGAYATGTTTTTATTMCATAATTTAATAGGCAGAATACCTWCTGTTCTGGATTACAGTAGATTACTCGCTGCTGCCTTCACCCTAGTTTGTTCCCACTCCACCCACATTCTGATATGTCAAAATCCCTTCACAAAGAAAAAAAAAGATGTTTTAATACCAGCCCAAAATATTGGTGCTTATTTCTCCAGAAATCTAGAGAACTTCACCGCCACCACAGGAGAGAGGTTTTAATCAGTCCCCAGCTGAGTGCGACCTTTTCGAGGCTCGAGACAACCTGAAGAGCCCCGTGGAGCCATGACAGGTCCCAGGGTGAGCAACGCCTCCATGTTGGACCACATAACAAGCCCCTAGATCCCACATCCCCCGAGACTTCCACACTGTGCTACTCTACCTGACATCCGAAAGGGCATGMAGATCTTTTCCCCCGTGTCAGGGTGGATGATGGCCTGCAATGAAAGCACAGTCAGACGTAATGAGGACAAAAATATGTTTAGCTCACAAGAATTACCTCATGAAAGAGTAAGATTAGGAGGAAAAATATCTTTATTACAGGGAAATCACTGCTTCCCACAAGCAACAGTGAACCACGTGTGTGTGTGTGTGTGTGTGTGTGTGTGTGTGTGTGTGTGTGTGTGTGTG